CTATTGAGTAAGAGTGACTACAACACAATTACATGCTATATCCTGGGGCAGGCAGGTTACCAAAAAGTGACAGTGACACTGAACTTTAGAAAGGAAGATTTCAATAAAATGTAGTTAGTCAAAATGGCTTTAAAAGTAAGGGAAGTAAAAACCTTAAGAAGTGGTATGAATGATATTTAACTAAACATGGATAGCCATTCACAGTCTTTGTTTAAACCTGATCTGATGGTGTCAAATTTTCAAATGAACTGGAGCTCAGCAGTTTCTCTTTGGAGTCTGGTCCTGAAGTTTTTTTGCTGTAAGATGGCTACCTTTACATCTGCTATTGTGTGGCCAGGGAGGTTGAAGTGTTCTCCTACAGGTATTTGTATATTGCCATTCCTGATATCTGACTTGTGTCCATTTATCCTCTTGCGTAGAACACTACATAATCACACCAGTTTCAATTATTTTGGTAATTTATTTCAAAATAAATGTCAGCAAATACAGTAACTCCTCACTTAAAGTAGTCTTGGTTAACGTTGTTTTGTTGTTACATTGCTGATCAATTAGAGAACATGCTTGTTTAAAGTTGCGCAATGCTCCCTTATAACATTGTTTGGCAGCCGCCTGCTTTGTCCACCTCTTGCAGAAAGAGCAGCCCGTTGCAGCTGGCTGATGGGGGCTTGGAACCAGCGCGGACTGGCAGCTCCCCTATCAGCTCCCCACTCCCCTAATTTCCCTGTGCGGTAGCCACCCAGCAGGCTATCAATTGCCAGCAGTTCAGCTGTCCCTCCCCTCACTGCTATGTGCTGCTTTTGCCCTCTGCCTTGGAGCTGCTCCCAGAAGCTTCCTGCTTGCTGGGGGGAGGTGGGGTGTTAATGTCAGGGCTTCCCCCTCCCCCTGCTCCTGCTCCCCGCTTACCCCATCTCCATAGAGCAAGGGGGGGGACACACGACAGGGCTCAGGACGGAGGGAGCTTGCTAGCAGCAGCTGCTGTCTCAACTTGCTGATCTACTTAAAAAAGCAATGTAGAGTGGGGTCAGCGTACTTAAAGGGGCAATGCGCATCTCTCTCACACACACAGGGTGTGTGTCTCTGTCTACTATGCTTTCTCCCCTTCCATTTGTGCTGCCTTGTAGAGTGTGAGGTTACATTAACAACGTGTTAACCCTTGAGGGCTCAGCCAAATGCTAGTTCATCATTCAGCACTACAGCATTCCCTGGGAAATATTTCACCCTCTGACTCCACCACCTCAACCAAGCTTCACAATCATCTTTTCTGTGTACAGTATTGTTTGTTTAAAACTTATACTGTGTGTGTGTGTGTGTGTTGTGTATATATAAAAAAAGCCCCAGGCTAAACAAATCCCTGTTAACAGAATAAGTAAATGGCAGCTGCTCCAGGTCAATTAAGACACCTGGGGCTAATTAAGATCTTTCCGGAAGGCAGGAAAGATAGCTAGGTTGATTGGGACATCTGAAGCCAAATAGGGGCTGGCTGAAACTAGTTAAAAGCCTCCCAGTTAGTCAGTTGAGCGTGCGTCAGGAGCTTTAGGAGGAAGCCACGCTGTTGGAGAAACTAAGCAGTACAAACCATATCAGGCGCAAGGAAGAAGGTCCTGAGGGAACAGTGAAGTAGATATTAAAGAAGTGGAGACTGCTGTGGGGAAGTGGCCCAGGGAATTGTACATGTCCTACTTCAAAAAGAGTCAGCTACCATAGCTGCTACTATTAAGGTCCCTGGGCTGGAGCCTGGAGTAGAGGGCGAGGCCGGGCTCTCCCTCTCCCCTCCCAGATTAATCACTAAGACTGGGAGACAACAGCGACTGTGCGAGCGAAGGTTGCTTCTCCTCACCTCCCTTACTGGCTTATGATGAAAATGGCTCAGTAGGCTGTGACCCTTGCCTCTAGAGAGTGAAGGGCTACATGGGGGGTCACAATGAGCCTCTGAGGCTAGCGAAATCCAGCAGGAAGCGCAGGACCCACTGAGACAAGGACAGAGCTTTGTCACAATATATATAAAAAAATATAGTGTCTTATCTGGTGAAAAAAATTTCCCTGGAACCTACTCCCTCCTCCCCCCCATTTATATTAATTCTTACGGGGAAATTGGATTAATTTAAATTCACATTTTTCAGGAACATAACTACAACATTAAGCGAGGAGTTATTGTATGTCTGTGACAATACAGAGAAACAAAAATTCCCCCAGGAGTAGAAAGTTAAAGAAACCCCTATTGACAACCCAGTTCCTGTTTGTATGCAGTCTCCTTCCTGCCGTGCGGGGTGATGGGGCTGCAGGAAGGGTCCCCCAGTGGCCGGGGAGTCCCTGCCCGCGAGGGAAGCCCAAGCTGCTGGCTGGGCCCGGCCTCCCTGTGGTCCTGCGGGCTCAGCTGGGGCGCACGATCCACCCAGCCTCCGGGGGCAGCAGTGGCCCCTTTGCAGCCTTCTGCGGCTGCGCCTCCCCTTCCCCTGCCCAAGCTCGCTACAATGTAGCTGGGCGGTTGGGCTGCGCTGCGGACCCTGCAGGTCGTGCTGGGGCCGCGTGGACCCTGGTTTATGCTGCCTCCCTATTTCCCTGGACATGTTTGACTTCTTGGCAATTCCCCCTGGACGGGGATTTGAGTACCAAAAAGCTGGACATGTCCGGGGGAAATCCGGATGTATGGTAACCCTAGTCAGAGTATGTGACGAACTGCAGCTGCTAGGAACCCTCTACTCTTCTCTCTCCTCCCCCCCAGCAGTGTCTTCTATGTGCAAGCTGGGCCCTGCCAGGTCCAGTGGCCCCTAGTGGCGGCCAACAGCACTGCAGCCCATTTCGGAGGGGTGGGTGGGAGGTGGAATCTGTGCAAAAAACATTAATTTCTGTAAAATTCTGCATTGCACAGTGGCACAGAATTACTCCAGGAGTAAAATAATCTGACACAGAAATTAGGTTATTCTGACATTTTGCAATTCAAAGTGAATTTAAACACATGCAAAGCAGTGCCAGTTAGTATGGTCTGATGCTTCAAAGGATCATTAAAAACATCAATTTAATCCACTATTCTCACAAGCCACTTCTGAGATCTGAGCTACCACAGAGTGATTTTTGAATGCTTTACTACTCATTTTCTTCATTGTAGTTCACATATAACCAGCTTTCTAACTTCAGAAGAGAAATTCTTTGAGAATTACTCACTTGTATATGTAATCGTTCATTCTCCTCTATCTTCTTTTGAAGATCTTCATCAAAGACACTCTTCTGCTCTTGACTCAACTGAGATGAAGATTCTCCACTTTTCTGATAAAAATTTAAAAGTATTTCCATGTATTGCATGCAGTTTTACAGGGCACCCATTCCCAATATGTAAGCATACTTTACACAGCTTAAAATTGGGTCTAGTCACATTTCCACAGTAACAGAAGCACAGGCTATGATTAACATCTCTAAAATACAGTTATTCCAAATATTTCTTACAAGTGATATATGTAGGTTGTATTAAAACACAAGTTCAAAGACAGCACCAGATCTCTAAACTTGGACAACTGCATGCACAAATTGCATTAAATATATTATCTGTGCAGGTTAGAAGACACAAAACAAGTTAGTCATTACTCAAAAAATTTAGTCAATATTTGTAAACCTGTATAGGCCTAATCTGGTGAAATGGCATACTTGAAACTTTGTCCGAATAATAGTTTCTTAACACTAAATGATTGCTTCTTGGAACACCTAGAGTAGACAAGGCGAGGCTACTCTTGACACAGATGTTAATCCAAATAGTGACAGTAGCTCAGCTATTGAGTAAGAGTGACTACAACACAATTACATGCTATATCCTGGGGCAGGCAGGTTACCAAAAAGTGACAGTGACACTGAACTTTAGAAAGGAAGATTTCAATAAAATGTAGTTAGTCAAAATGGCTTTAAAAGTAAGGGAAGTAAAAACCTTAAGAAGTGGTATGAATGATATTTAACTAAACAATAATGGAGTGTCATAATACATTCCTGTTGTTGAACAAAAAAGGGAACCTGGAACGCAACGTAAACTGTAAGGTCTGAGAGGCTATTAGAACCAAACTGCAATCCTTCAAAATTTGGAAGTCTGAACTGACAGAAGCCATAAATCACACCTGGCAATAAGTAAAAGGGAAATTAGAAGGGCCAAAATGTATTTTGAGGAGCAAATAACAAAAGATGTAAAAACAGATTATTTAAGTAAATCAGAAGCATGAAACTTGTGAAAGAATTGGTGTGTCTGTTGAATCACCGGAGCTAAATGGAGCAATTATGGACAATAAGGACACTAATGAGAAGCTAAGTGACTTCTCTGTATCAGATTTCACCACTGAGAAAACACCTACCCCAGACCTGCTCTTTTCTGATAATGAAGATCAGCTACTCTCAGAAATTCAGGTTTCAGAAGAGGTGGTACTGCAGCAAAATAATAATTTGAAAGGTGATAAGCCAACAGGCAGATTGTATACATCCAAAAGATAAAAAGGTGCTTAAGGATGAAATGGCTACGCTCCTATTAAAAAATAGCCACTGTTCCAGAGGACTGGAGGATAGGAAAGGTTGTACCTATATTTTTAAAATGCTCTTGGAGAGATCTGAGGAACTAGAGGCCAGTAAAGCCTTACATCTGTACTTGTCCAACTGGTTGAAATTATAATTATAAGCAGAACAGAACATCTGGAAGATTATGGTATGATAGGTCTAAGCAATATGGTTTTAGCAAAGGAAAATCATGTCTCACTAAACTTTTAGACTTAATTGAAAGTGTCTATAAAGTAATAGATGAAGGAAAACTAGCTGATGTAGTTCATTTAGACTTTAAAAGGCCTTTGATGAAACTGACAGCATAAATTAAAGCCTAAATTTATTATAATCTATTAAGATTATGTAAATTAAAAAAAAATACTAAGCAATGTTTGCTGTGAAGTTTTACAGGAAGTTTTACAAGTGCAGAGAAAATATCTTCATTTGAGTTTATTTAACTAGTTCAGCTCAAATGACTAGTTCAGTCAGCATTAAGAAATCAGTTGAAAAAGCAGAAAAGCTTGTTTTCCTCTTTCAATCTATGAATAAAACTACTTGTGAGAGGGCGAGCTCTATGATCTGTAAAATCTTGAAGGACATGTTGACCAGAAACAATCACTTCAATTCATTAGCTACTGATATTTCCTTTGTTTAAAAAGCATGTTTTAAAAAAATTCTTATGTTTTCAGCACTTAAGAAGTTTTATTCAATACAAAAATTAAAATGCTGGTTTTGTACATTTGTAATTGAATCTGAATTTTCATCCAAACAGGCTTTGACACAAGTCCCGACTCAAACAAGAATCATCTAGTAAATAAGAAATGCATCATTCACCATTTTAAAAAATGCAACTGTTAACACTCTGAATTAATGTAAATTAAGCTATATAATTGCTTAAATAAATTTGCATAATATAGTGTATCCTGGTTAGTAAAAAGAAGCACCAAGTTTAGTGAAAAGGCTATATTCAGGTGCAAATCAACATGTTTTAATGGTTACCAACTAATGAGAATTTTGTTTAGAAAATAAACTAAAAAAAGGACAAATACAAAACACATGATTTCAGTCAATCCATTCTGGCAGAAGAGGCTACCAAAGAACCTAAATAGTCATGGGGTTAGAGTCAAATTACTGTTTTCAATCAAAAACTGGCTAGGAGATAGAAAGATACAAATAGGAATAAAAGGTCAGTTATGCAAAAGGTTCAGAGTGGGGTGACTCAAGGTTCTGTACTAGGTTCCATGTTGTTTAATATACTTATTAAAGATGTGGAAAGGAAATAAGTAAGTGAAATTTAATGTTGATAAATGTACACTAATGCACACTAGAGGAGAACAAATTAAATATTCATACACCTTACAGAATTCTAAGTAAACTGTATCAACTCAAGATATCAACTTGAATATTCTTGATACCCATACAGAATTATCAATTAATGATAAAAATTTTGGAAAGGATATTTACCTCATGCTTCAGGGATTAAGTAAATCTATTAAAAAATCAGTCAGAGATTTAACCTGCAGAGGGGGCCGATTCCCACGCCATGTATCTATTTCAGGGTTCTTTTACACTTTCTTCTGAAGCATCTGGTATTGGCCACTGTCAAAGACAGGATAGTGGACCAGATGGACTCCAGTTTGATCCAGTATAAATTCCTATATTCCTACTCATCAAATCATGGTCCACACAGTTTACAGATTTGCATAGAATCACAGGGTTAGAAGGGACCACAAAGTGTGTGGTACAAGTTGATAGACAAAAGTCTAAGTTTATATAGTTAAACATTAGGTTTGTATTGTATACGCACTAAATGCAGAGCATTCTCTATTGCTTGTTTTAGAACGTATGTTCATTTATTTTAAATTAAATTTCTTTATTATTGGATACTATCAAGTGGTGAAATTGGTTCTACCAATTTGTTACTGCTATGAAGTTTGGCACAAAAATATACATGGGGATAGAAAGGTAGAAAAGAAGTGAAGGACTTTGTTTTATGTCTCTTACTGGGATGCTGATAAAAACAAGACCATTGATGGAAAGCCAGGACATTTTTCTTTAAGTAAATTGTTTTAATTTGAAGCCTACCTTGTTCTTCTTGCCCTTGGCTTCACTTAAGGCAAGTTCATCCTGAAGCAGTTCCACCCTCTTTGCAAGCTGTTGATTTCGAAATGTCAAACTGTCCATTTCTTGTTGCAGTTTTCTCAATGATTGGTCCCTCATCTTCAGTTGTTCCTGAATTAGCATAAAAATTTCATCAATCCACTATGATTTCAGCACAAGCGTTATAAAAAAGTGACTAATATTTAAAAAAAAATCACAAAGGAATAATAGTAATTATACAAAATCTAAAACAATTCAACACACATTGCTTTGTTCGTTTGTAGACAACCTAAAGGCACATATGGATTGTTTTTAGCAAAAGAATTTAGCTTCCTTAAGTCTACACAAAGCATGCTGTGAGTGCATACTTCTTCCTTTTACACAGTCAGATGGACACTTCCTGGTGACTGTTTGTAAATGCCCACCACACCGTATCAGGAACAGAATAGTTGCAGATGGGAAATTCTTACTGAATCAATCCTTGGTTACAACTAGCTACATCCACTTAACCACAAAGCAGATCCGGAAAACTTCACCATCTGATCACAGTTTGACAAGACTGAGTGCAATTAAATAGAAGACTTTTTAACTTGTACCTTCAGAGAAGCAGAATTTGCTTGCTCATCCATGACACCTTTTTTCAGCACCTGATTCTGAGCTCGAAGCTGAAAACGAGGTGCAAATTATTAATCCAGCCAGGATTCAACAAACATACAAAGTGTTCATTAACAATCTGCAAGAGTACACATCTTTGTTTAGGAAAATAGAAAATATGTGCATTTTAAATCAGGCCGTATTAGTTCTGTTACAGATATACTGTTGTAATAATATTGAAAAAAGTATAAGACCAGCATAACCCAATTCCATTGTTTTACATTTTGGAAAACAAGTCATTTTACCTTCTATGAACTTCACTCTCAAACAAATTGTTCTTAAACAAGAAATATACTGTGATGTTGCACTCTATATGATTTTATGAAAGTATGCTGATGAGTATGAATATAACGTAACTGGAATATGCTTCATGCAAAAGGTCTCTTGTAAGGTATCATTACAAAGCTTATAATCTACTGAGTGTGGTCATCCTATTTGTATAAATTATGACTTTTGTATCTGAAACTAGAAATATAAAATATAACTCTGAGCGCCTATTGTAATTTATGCAAAATGTGGGCCATTAACGGTGGTTTGGAATCTTGATGACTCCCATTAACCAGGACAATTGTCTGTGGATAGCTCTGTTTTACTTGTGAGTCTTCCTGTATACTTGTCCTGTATCCTGTATACCAAGTGGGTAATGACGTCTTACAGTGACATGTGATCATGTCATCTGAACTGGAATCCATCTTTAACCTGGTGCTTTTCCATTGGGGGGGAGGGATGACCCAAAGGGACAAAGGATTCCCGCCTTATGCAAAAGATATAAAAGTGGGTGGAACAGAGAAAAAGGGGCAGCCATCATGAGAAATCCCCTAGCTACCACCTCAGCTGGAACAAGGGCTGTACCAGGGGAAAGGATTGTGCCCAGACTAGGTAGGCATCCAGTCTGTGAAAGAAACTTATTGAAACATCTTGGAGGGTGAGATTTTATCTGTATTCAGTTTTATTACTGTATTAGTCTTAGATTTGCGTGTTTTATTTTAATTTTACTTGGTAATTCACTTTGTTCTGTCTGTTATTACTTGGAACCACTTAAATCCTACTTTCTGTATTTAATAAAATCACTTTTTACTTATTAACCCAGAGTATGTATAGTACGTGGGGGGGGGGGGGGGGAAACAACTGTGCATCTCTCCATCAGTGTTATAGAGGGCTAACAATTTATGAGATTTATTTGGGGTTTAGACCGCACTGGGACTTGGGCATCTTAGTGTTAAAGACAGGAACACTTCTGTAAGTTGCTTTCAGTTAAGTCTGCACTTTGGGGCACGTGGTTCAGACCCTGGGTCTGTGTTGGAGCAGACAGGCATGTCTGGCTCAACAAGACAGGGTGCTGGACTCCCAGGCTGGCAGGGAAAGCAGGGGCAGTAGTAGTCTTGGCACATCAGATGGCAGTTCCCAAGGGGGTTTCTGTGATCCAGCTCATCATGTACATCTTAGTAACAAGACAATTTTAAAGTGTGGTTATGGTCTGAAGAGCACCCACACAAAAAGGGCACCTATTTACTAAAGAAACCTACCCCCTGTGTATATTTCTCCTTTTCAGACAAAAAATTTTTAAATAACCTTTTTATTTTTGACAAAGAGTCCTGTGGCGCCTTATAAACTAACAGACGTATTGGAGCATAAGCTTTTGTGGGTGAATACTCACTTTGTCAGATGCATGTAGTGGAAATTTCCAGAGGTAGGTACAAATATGCAGGCAAGAATCAGTCTAGAGATAATGAGGTTAGTTCAATCAGGGAGGATGAGGCATGAACACCAAGGGAGGAGAAACTGCTTTTGTAGTTGGCTAGCCATTCACAGTCTTTGTTTAATCCTGAGCTGATGGTGTCAAATTTGCAAATGAACTGAAGCTCAGCAGTTTCTCTTTGAAGTCTGATCCTGAAGTTCCTTTGCTCCAGGATGGCTACCGTTAAATCTGCTTAAAATTGTGTGTCCAGGGAGATTGAAGTGTTCTCCTACAGGTTTTTGTATATTGCCATTCCTAATATCTGACTTGTGTCCATTTATCTTTTACATAGGGAAATTTCCACTACATGCATCTGACGAAGTGAGTATTCACCCACGAAAGCTTATGCTCCAATTCGTCGTTAGTCTAGAAGGTGCCACAGGACTCTTTGTTGCTTTTTACAGATCCAGACTAACACGGCTACCCCTCTGATACCTTTTATTTTTGTTCACACTACAGAACCAACACAACTAACAGAGTCAACAGGATTCTGTGCCACCTTATGTTTCCACAGAATTGTTAACTACATTCTGATTACAAAACTTATGCTTCATTACCAGTGTCACAAACCAGAGAGAACATAGCCTGACTTAACATCTCAGGATGAGTTTGCAGACTGCCAAAAAAACACCCATCTTTTTACTATGATTTTGGCTAGTTTGAGCTGGAAATCATTGAGACAAAGATGGAGCTCCACAATGACATTTTTCTATTCACTTTTCAGAGTATCACCTCTCAAGCATTAATAATAAAGGCATTGATCGTTCCATCTTCCCATTCCTTGATAATGGCTTTGATTCAGGTTTCTTCACCAGTAGTTTGTATTAATTTGACATGGCTGAGTCCAGCAGCTACAGTCATGAATTAAAATGGTTTGCACTGCACTTGGGAATGCCACTGGCCGAAGCACAAAGGGGGTGAATTCACGTAAAGCAATGCTGATGTCTAAAATTTTGTCTGAGAGCCGAACATTTCAAAAGATCAAGAGACAACAATTAATACTGTGGGCCTATTATGCTCCCTTTGAATTGCTTAGGGGGCCAAAAGGGAGGGGAAGCCACCTGCAAGTTGCTTACTGGGAACTTCCAAGGATAGGGAGTCCCAGCAGGGGTAGGGCCAATATAACAGGTTCCTATGCCTCCCTCCTCACAGCTACTGGCACAGGGAGCATGTCTACTATCCTTAATTGGCGTATGATCCACTAGGGTCTGTTGCCAGCTGATAGAAGTTGTGCTTTAGTTAAATATAAGTTATAGGGCTCAATACAGGGGTAACCAGGTGAAATTTAAGGGCCTATGATGTACTGGAGACCAGATTAGAGGATCTAGTGAAGAGTTCTGGCCTTACACATTCTGAAGTTATTAGCGCAAAATTGCCCCAGGAGTAATATACAGAAGTGTCAAAATAGACAGACACCAAACTAAGAAGCAAGAATCATATTTCATAGACACCAGAAATCAAGCTCATTTCATCGATTAGCTTTACGCTAATGAGCTTGTGCTTCGTTTAGAAAATACCCAAGTGACAAGAGCTTGTATTTCTCTTCCTAAAGTTTCAAATCAGGAGAAGCAACAGACCATTGGTTTCCCAAGCATAAAGTTATTTGAGTAGAATTAATCCAGAAAGCCAAAGCCTATGTCCCCTCACAGTGCTCGGCAAATATTCGGTTTGAGTTGAACCAATTCTGAAAGCTACAAAAAAAATTTAGCGAATTGAAGAAATCCATTTCTGCTTAAAATGTTCTACCCAAAATGTTATCTCCAGCATTTTTAATAGGTCACTAGAGTCACAAAATAGCTGTAGACGGTAGTCTCTTTATAATCTTTAGGCCAGTGATTAGGGCACTCACCTGGGATGTGGGAACTGTGCATTCAATTCCCTCCTCTGCCTGATGTGGAGAATGGATTTGAATTTGAGTCTCGGACATTTTCAAGCAATACCCTAGCCACTGATCTATGGGATATTCTGGAGCTTGTCTTCATTACAGGCTAAATTGGTGCTGTTTCGATCAATGCAGCAGAATCAATTTAGCGAGTCTGGTTAAGACATGCTAAGTCGATAGGAGAGCGCTCTCCCATCAACTTCTGTAATCCACCTCAATGCGAGGCAGAAGCAATGTCAATGGGAGAGCAGTGTTGACACTGCTGTAAGTCGATGTAGGTTACGTCAACTTCAGTTACGTAGTTTACTTAACTGAAGCAGCGTAATTTACATAGTCATAGTGAAGACAAGCCCTCAATCACTCCTCTTAATGGTGTTCCACTTTTTATAAATAAGGCCTTGTCTACACTGCAGAGTTTTGTCAACAAAAGTCTGCTTTCATTGACAAAACAGTGGAGGTGTACAAACTACAAAGCTCCTTCCACAGACAAAACACTCTCCTGCTTTGCCCACTAAATAAAACCACCTTGACAAGAGGCGTGGAGCTTTTTGCGGCAAAAGTTGTATTGACAAAGTATCAGCGTAGACACTGTGCTTAGTTAGGTCACTGTAAATGGCCTCTAGGAGGTGTCCCACAATGCTCATCTTGACCGCTCTGGTCAGTGGTTTGAACTCCACTACCTTGCATCCAGGTACATAGGCATCCACCCTGCCCCCTTAAAAAGCCTGGGAATTTTTGAAATTCCACTTCCTATTTGCTTGGTGTGGACAGCTCGTATCACATCTTCCCAGCTGATCACAGTAGCTCCACACAGCAAACACTCTCCTGCTTGGAACACACCTGAGTTGTTGGATCTGCTGGCACCGTGGGGAGAGGAGGTTGTGCAGTTTCAGCTCCGCTCCAGCCATAGGAACTTCAGTATCTATGGTCAGATTTCTCATGGCATGTTGGGTAAGGGCTATGAACAGGACACACACCAGTGCTGTGCAAAGATAAAGGAACTGAAGCAGGTGTACCAGAAGGAAAGCGAGTCAGACCGTCGCTCTGGTGCTACGTCAAAGACCTGCTACTTCTATAAGTAGCTGAATGCCATCCTCCATGGCGACCCCACTTTCACTGCGAAGAGCCCCGTAGATATTTTGGTGGGGCTGGAGACAGTGGTCTCAACACAGAGGACAAAGTGGTGGACGAGAAGATTGAGTTGGAGGACGACGTGGAGCATGCGGCAGGGTCGTCTGGTGGCATGGCGAGTGAAGACATCTTTTCCATTCTGGAGGGTTCTAGCCAAATCCGGCAGTTCGTCTCTGGCACGCATGATGCAGGAGAGGAGAGCTCTGGTAAATGTTCTTTTTTAGTTCATGCTGCTTGATTATATGAGGTAGAGCTATCTT